TGGTTGTTTAGCAAAGTAGGTTTCTTTAGAAATATTGGAGAAGAATATCTTACCAAATGTTATGCCATTTATTGGACATGAACAATTGTTTAACTCTCTTTAGATATCTTTAGAATCTATAAGTAAAGCTATTGAGAGATCAATTGAAAACACTGATGAAGCAGCTGCATCATCATTTTTATTAAGTTATTAGAAATATAGAGATTAAGTATTGAATCATTGTTAAAAAAATATCAATCGAGGAAATATATTCAGAAATCTTAATACAATTAATTTACAATATCGTTTGGCACCTATAGAGTATAATAAGGTTAAATAATTATTGAGTTAACATTTGGATTAAAAATATGATTTATCAATTGAATAAGTAAATATTACTTTTTAAAATTGTTTTTTGTTATTTTTGGGAACAATTAAATTGGAAGAAGATTCTTAAACTATTTCAGTTTGGCAATCTTTATTATATTTAATAAAATCAATAAAGGATAATGATTAATTAATAGAAATATTATAGAAAAGTATATAAAGAGTAAAATTAAAGATGGAATAAAATCATAAAAATTATTTTAAGGTTATTTTAACTTTACTTTCAATATTATATCGTAATACAAATACAAAAAGATCAGTTGTTTTAATATTAGAAAAAGTAATGTTATCTTTGGGAGTATATTTAGATATATATTAAAAAACTGATGAAGAATTCAACTCTTAATTAATAAAATCATTAAGAGAGAAATTACATCATAATGAATTAACAATCTTAATGTAAGAATTATAGAATCTAATTAATGAACCAATAGTTGAATCATTACATGGATTTGTATCTCTTATTCAATGCATTTATCAAAGTGATTATGCAGATTTAAATAAAGTTCTATTTCTATTATAATCTATTTGTCAATAAGGAACAGGATCATCTTCTGAAGAACTTATGTAAGATTATATAAATAAATATATAGAAATTCAAATCTCATTAAAGCTATGGAATTATTGGCTTAAAATAATTTGAGTGATTCTTTAAAAATTCTTTTAGATAATTAATCAGAATTTCCAATGGGAATGTTTCCAAAACTATTTCTTAATTGTGTAAGTTAGAAAAAAACATTTATGGTATAAAGCTTTAAGTTTTTAACAGATGTCTTAAATAATCCAGAAGGAAGTAATATATTTTTTATAATTATTTTTAGTTATTACTGGAGATATTGGAAATTATTTAGTTAATGCATCATTATTTATTGGATAATTGTTCATTGACGAAAATAAAATATTATCAGAAATGCTTCCAAAATCAATGGCTAGCATTTTAGGAACCTTTTTGCTTAGATTTATGACTTGTCATGATCCTAAATTATCAGGATCATCTTAATCTGTATAAACTGCTATTTGGGCATTTCAAAATTTATTGACTATTTGTAATATTGATGGAATATCATAACATGTTTTTAAGAAGTTGTTAATAGAAGAGGAAGTAGAGGATGGAGTTCAAGAGATTGTTATGATTTATTGTAAAGGGGCTTCATTTCAAGATTAATAGAAACTCTTTAACTTTATTGAAGGATTTACTAAAAAGGAATAAGCATCATATAGATTAGGAGCAATAGTTGTTATTAATTAATTTATTAGAAGTTATAAGAAAGAATATGCTTAATAGAATGTTTATGAGAATCTATTGAAGACACTTTTAGAATCAGCTGAGGATGATAGTGATAATGTAAGAGCTTAAGTAGCATTTGGATTGGGAGGATTATCATATTATTTAAAAGCTGATGAGACAATTGAAAAAGAGTTATTATAAGAAATTATTGAATGTCTTATAAATTTGTTAGATGATTAATAAGAAATTTGTGTGAGAAGTGCTATGATAAGTTTATAGAATTTAATTGATTCTACAACTGATTTTGTAGTATATATTCCTTAATTGATATTTACAACAACATCAAATTTTGAGAAAACTATGACTAAAATTAGAATTTCAGCATTTTCACTATTCTCAAAATTATGTAATACTTGTTTTGTAGAGGAAATTATGAATGAATAAATAATGTCTTATTTAAGATAAGCATTAGTATCAGTGATGCTTCATTTATTAGATGAGAGTGTTTAAGTTAGATAAGTGTGCAAGTTAGCTTTGGAACCAATTGGAAATTTACTTAAAACACCATTATTAAAGTATAATATTATATATATATTTAAGATAATTGTCCAATAATGAAATGGAGAGTGATCTTGAAATGAGTCATTTGGAAGAAAATGAAAAAATAATTATGATAATGAGTATAAATTTAGAATAAGAACATTTGAATGTATTATTAATAAATTATATTAATTATTAGATCTACATCAAAGCATTGATTGAGTTTTGCAAAAGTCCAGAACATAATATCAAAGGAGCTGCTTTATTTAGTTTGATTATTCTATTGGCCTTTAGAGAAGTAGGAGATTATAGACCATAAATTGAATAATTATGCAAAGAAAACAGTAAAGCAAAGTTAATCACAAAATAATTAGTGATGAAGGCAGCGTACTATTTATGATATACCTAAAAATATATAAGAAATGTGTATATACATTTATATTTTATTATAGTAAAATTCATTACTAAATAAATTTAATTATATAATTATTAATTCTATTATTCATTATTTCATTTTATCCATCATCTCTATAAACTCATTATAATCTATTTCTCCATCTCCATTTTTGTCAGCATCTGCAATCAAGTATTTGAAAGTGTTATCATCAAATCCAGAACCATTTTCTAAAATATTAATCAATATTATTACTCCCTAAAACTTATTTCAATTCCTCCCTTGATATCTTTCCACTCTCATCCAAATCAAACATTTTAAATGCTTAAAACAGTCTTTCTTATTTCATATATACACTTTTCTCTATAGTGGCTGCCAAGAATTCTTATAATTAAATTTATATTTATACCAGTGTAATTAATAGTACCTGAACCATCAGTATCAATACTTTTTATCACATTCATTATTTCATTTTATGACTCTTTCTTCAAACCTGTCAATCCATGAGTTAATTCATCCATAGTCAAAACACCATCTCCATTCTTATCTAATTATTTGAACAATTTTCCTAATTCTGATATTTCTTATTCAGATAATTAAGATGCTATATAAGTCAATGTAACCTATATATAACTTATATATATAAACCTTTTTTAATTTATTAAAATTTGTAAAATTCTTTAAAGATTGATAATTAACGCTTAAAGATGAACTTCCAGCTTATTATTACTTCATCCAAGGATGTTAAAGAACCTCATGAGATTTCAATCGTTTCTCTGGCTTACATATCATTTTTTATATCAAATCCTTTGCACCTTCTGAAACCTTCTTGAATTCAGGTACTAAAGAATATTCTGATAAAATACTGTTGAATGTGAAAATGCCTTTTTTAACGGCATCCAGAATTTCAGGATCTGTATTTCCATAAAATGGAGGTACACCTGATAAAAGTATATAGAGTATCACTCCTCCTGACCAAATATCACAAGATTCATCATATTTACCATCCAAAATTTCAGGGGAAATATAATAAGGTGTTCCTGCTCTAGTTGTCATACTAACTTTTCCTTATGTCAACTTTTCAACATGATTATCATGGAATATAACAGACAATCCAAAATCTATGACTTTTAATGGTGAATCATCAGCTTTTGTCAATAATAAAAAGTTTTCAGGTTTTAAATCACGATGACAAATTCCATTTTAATGACAATAGTTGACAGCTTACATAATTTACAAAATAGTGATTCTTGCTTCATTTTCAGAAAAATGACCCTTGTCAATAATTCTATCAAATAATTCACCTCCTTCACAAAGTCTTAGATAATTATAATTCTTACTCCATCACTAAATAAACATTTCTCACATCTTCAAAAGTCTCAAATAATTTAATAATATTTGGGTGATCCTAATTATTTATTGTGTAGTCATACTAAATTTCTCATTATTTCTATTTCTCTTCTAAATCGATCAGGATTTCTAACTTTGCTTTTTGGAATTATTTTGATAGCTCTATAATATTTCTACCCCTTTAGTTTAGCTTTAACTACTTAACCATAAGTCCCTTAACCAAGCAGCTTTTTCAATGAATTTATTTTAATACCTTCTTGTGATCAAATTCATAAGCATCTTCAATTTTTGTTGTGGAGGATTTTATGAACCATTATTTTTTAATTAGAATATTGTTATCCATATTATATTAATTAATTGATTAATTAATTTTGTAATTATATAAAATTAAAAGACATTTTATATTGTATTATTTCTTTTAACTTCATAGATATTATTAATCAATACTCTCATTCTAGAAGTATACTAATTAATCATTTTTTTACCAATATATTTTTACTTCATAAACCAAATCCGTTTTTTATTACATCCTTTTTATATGAAAAATTTTTAATTTAATAAAAATAGATAACATTAATTATTTTATTTATATTTAAGAATAAATTTCATGAATATACATGTAAACACTAAAGGATGAATGATCTTATTATTTACTTAACAACTCTTAAAACTCAAATGAACTACTGGAAATAAACTTGAAATAAGTTTAAATTTTTAAAACTAATTTTGGATCTATTGATAAATCTAAAACTGTTTCAGTATATAATCTAATTATAAATTATCTAATTAATTTTAGACATTTTTATAATTAAAAATTATTAGTCATTTATGATTAATATTTTATAAAAATGAACTACCAAAGTATCAGTTGAAGAAACTAATAAAATTAAACAAATTTGATGTTTAGTATATCGATCATTATTCCTACTAGATGAAAATATATGTTTTTGAAATTTAACAAATATTCAATTTTTTATTGGAGATACATTTAGAAATAATTTAAATGTTTCATTAGAGTTATCACTATTATATACTATGAGTAAAAGAAGAATCTATGAAATAGAAACTATTTTGTCATAAAAATGATAATAATCAAAAGATAAAAAATTATGTTATATAAATTCATAAAATACATTTTGTCTAAATCATATCATTATAAGCCTTTGAATCTTTCAGATTTTTGTCAATAATTTTTCTAAAAAGATTATTAGAGCTGATAGGGAATTCAGGTTCAAGTTTATCCTTGTAAGCTTCTTTAAACTCTTTATCAAATTTTTGTAATGTTGACTTACTTGATAGGATTCTTTTTATTAATGATCTCAATCTAACATATTTACTTCTTAGATATGCAACTTGTATTTCTATAATATCATTAACTAATTATGTATTCTATAAAATTCTTCCTGGAGTAGTTTTCAATAGTTAAGGATTTGAATTAACTTCTAATACATAGATTTACAAATCATCTGTTATCATGAAATCTACTCCAAAGAATTCTGATAACTTGCTATCATTGTCAAAATAATGTTATGTACTCATTATTAGATGTTAGATAGTATTGTGTATTTTTGGATAGAGGTAATCATTTAACCATTTCTTGTTCTTTATTGCTTTTTTTTGTAATAGCAATTCTTAAAGATAATCTAATTTCCATTCAATAAAAAATGATTAATCTTCTTATAAATCTTAGCCCTCTAATTTCTTTTTGACAATAGCAGTGTTACAAACATGTGAGGATTTTTCTAAGGAAAACTTATCAAAGGGCATAGCACATCTTCTAATTAATGAACTATCATAAGCATAAACAATCAAGGGATAGGTTGATGCAATTATGAAATATATTCTAAATTCAATTTTATGACCTTTAAATAAAAAAGGATTGTTGATATATTTTTATGCGATTACGTATTTAGAAATTTGACCACAATTCTAACCATTTTAATATTCTTTAATTAGTTATTTAGTTTCTTTTTCAAATAACATAGTAATCCCTGCTCCTCTATGTACTTCCAATCCTAATTTACTAATAAATTAAGGTCCATGTTTTTGGAATTTCTATTGGTATTCTGGAGTGTTAATAAGCTCAAAGAATGCTAAACATTCATCTTTCAACCATAATCTGTAAGATTTAGGTATGTAGGTAACATTTTATGAACAGATTTGTGGCATTGTTTTCAATTTATCCACATATTAATAATAGTTGTTCAGTAATTCATTTTTATATGCTAATTATTATCGACCTCTCATGTGGTTATGCTTTTAAAATAGACACATAGCAGCTATATAAATTAGATATGTAATTACATAATCCTGTATTTGATCTAGTAAGATAAGAATCATAATAATTAAAAGGAATTGTTAAGGCTTCTGGTAAAGCTGTCTTATTTTATTGTTTATCTTTAGTGTAATTAGGTATTTTTATAAAACTGATTGATTTGACTATTTCTTATGTTAAATCATCTGTTTCTCTGGTTGTGTAGATATCTTTTAATACAATATCAGGATGATAAAATTTGAAAGTATCTGATTAGTTACAGTAAGTTTCATTCAATTGTATTTATGATTTAGATAAGTCGAATCTAAATGATCTTTTATTTGAAAAATATTTCCTATTGTTGTAAAAGTTAGAGGTGGTTAAATTATTCATTTATTTAAGTATATCTTTGACTTGATCGTATTATTTGTAGACTAATGTATTCTCAATGAGCCATTTCTACAAAAACAAGATAAAAAGAGATGCCAATAATATTTATTAGGTCATTAAATTAAAATAATTATAGGGCCATTAGTATAGCGGTAGTATGGATGTTTCGGGTACATCAGATATGGGTTCGACTCCCGTATGGCCCCATTTTTTAATAAATCATGTGATTAAATATATAAATAATGCAAATTCTTTATATTTTGCTTAACATTTTAGTGCATATATATTAAAGAGAATATAACATTTAAAGTATTCATTTTAATCTTGAACCAATTTTCATTATATTATAATTACTAGGCACTTTCATTGGATCTAAACGTGACATGACTTATTTATCATCAACAGGTTATCTTAAAATCATTTTATCATGATATCCATATAAATATTTATTTCTTGATTAAATTTATTTATCAATAGCATCTCTTCTTTTATTATATTCATTATATTTTATTAATTATTCTTTTTTCTTAATTACAGAGATAGATTTTAATTTATTTTATTGTTTTTAATCAGTAGGTTTCAGTAAATATTTAGAATTATCATTTTTTACATCAATATCAAAAGCTCTTTTATCAATACTTCTTTATTCATCATAATAAGGTAATATATAAACATCAGTGGGTCTTCTTAAATGTTCAGCAGATGGTCTTCTTTTTTTTTATCTGATTACAGGATTAAATTATAACACTTATTCATTATCATTATCATCTTATTCATTATATATATCATCACCATCTTATCCTTAACAAAAAATCTTACTGAATTTTTATATTTCAATATTAACATCACTTTCTGTATATTCAATAGTATTTCTTATTTATTCAGCTGCCTTGAAGAAATGTTCTGAAAAAGCCTTCCATGCTTTGATTGCCATATATAAATATAAATACTCTTATAGAATATTAAAATTGCTTTATAAATCTACAATTTAACTACATACTTCTCTTCTATAATGAGGGTTTCTTTGATTATAAAGTCGATATTTAATTTTTTTATCATTGTTCTTCATTATTTATTTTCCAGCTTTAGTACTTATTTTGAAAATACTCTTCTTAAATGTTGCTTTAAATACTTCATAAAGTAGATTCCTAAATGTAAGACATCCATCAAAATCTTTTTTCAATTCAAATTCTGAAGCATGTTTTGCAGCATCCCAAATATTATCTCCTTTTTATGCTCCTAATGGTTCTCCTAATTCAAGTAGAAAATGAGCTAAATATTTAGTTTAAATTTTAGTTCCTTAAAATTCTTCAGAATATTTACACCATAAATTTCTAAATGTATCTATAGTTTCAACATAAGTTTCTACACAACTACTACTAGTATCATAAAACTTTTCAAATTCTTAAACAAGTTCACAAACTATTAAATTAAGTAAAACTCTTGCTCCAACAAATATTAAACTATAATAATAAATTTAAGCTATAATCCAAGGTTCATGATGTTCTTTCATATGTTATAATGTATCTTAATATATAAATCTCCATCCATTTTCTATAGTACATTTAAATGTAACTATTAATCCAAAGAAAAAATTTGTGAAATTTTATTAATCATTCATCATAAATCCTGTCTCTATATTTTAAAATAATTCACAACCAATATAAGAATAACATGATAATACTGTTACAAATAAACCTAAAATTCTTAATAAGGCCATCTTATTAAAATATATTACATTCAATAATTTTCTAATTCTTGTAAATTGTTGTATATTCAAAGTCATTCGTAAACATCTATGAAGTATAAATAATCTAAGCCATACAAAATATGGATCATCTCTACTTGCTCTTACATATCTTATAAATAGACCAATTTCAATATCCAACCAAAAGTCAATAATTGCACAAATCACAAATATTAGTTACATCTATCTCCAAATATCATCAAAATATCTTTTAATGTGATATGAGAACAATTTTACTATACAATCTATTATTAAGATGAAACTAAAAAAGTGATGGAATCCATTCAGTATATTCAAATAATGATTACTTGCAGATTCATATAATAACATAAGAATTACTAAAAATTATTAATTTAAAATTACATAAATTTAATAACAAACTATATTTGGTGATAAATATATAGTATCTATTATCTAATAATTTCTTTGCTCTCAATCTTAAACCTTTTTTAGGAGGTTTTGAATAATTTGGTGTATCTTACATTATTATATCAGATAATTTCATAAATAATTCTTAATCTAAAGTTAAATCTGGATTAAGTAATTATGATTTATTTTATTAGAAATTTACAAATATTACTCCAGCAAAAAATTAAAGGAAAAATAATGTACCTACAAAAGTAAATGAAAAAAAAAATAAATAAGATATCCATTCATTATTGAATCTTATTGGTCCAGTAGTCTCAGGTGCACTATTTATACAAATAAATAAAGTCTAAGCCCATAGATCAAATGTTGATAATACATATAATGATTACATAGCCTCCAATATATTATCAAAATTATATTAATAAACAATCCATTCCTCCTTTTCCTCTTCACATTCTTCTTTACTAATTCCATAATTTGTAGCCTCACCACAATAACCCATTTTCCCCCTATATATTGTCATACCAAATATTGCAAATATGAACCAAAATAATAATACAACATAAAATATAGAAATTATATCTCCCAATGATTTCATTATAGCTCCTCTTTCATTTATAAAAAAACCATATGTTGATGTGACTTTTAATGGCCTTAAATAACCTAAAAAGAGTATCCATTCTAATGCTTCATGATAAGTGGTTAAATGAATAAAATAACATATAACATAAACAAAATCAATAAATACCCATATACTTTTAAAATAACCATCCTCTGATAATAAACCATATGTTATAATTTACAATATTCCATCAATTAGAATAATTAAATTACAAATCAATTTAATTATTTCACAAATATTCCATTATTCATGTCTATATTAATCAGTATAAGTAATGACTATTAAATTTATTAAACTACCCCACAATATTATAATCATCAATAATTAGAATACTTAATTTTCAGTAATTGTGAAACATAATTTTCTAAATCTATTTTTTTTGGATATAAGATATAATGAATATGAATTTTTTATATTTTTGAATTTTTCATTCTCTTCTGGTTATATTAATGAAGACAAAATGTTATTTAGAGTAAAATCTTTTTTTATTTTAATTGAATTATGAGTTTAATTATTATCTTATTCATCTATTTTTTCTTCTTCAATCTCCTCAACATTTTCTAAATAACTAGCAAATCCATCTAGAATTATTACAAAAGCTAAACCAAATCCAAAATAATTAACTATAAATACTAAAGAAATACAAAATAGAAATGCTATGTATGAAGCACTATATGTTGTACTTAAAATAACTACTCCATACCAATCATCACTTGTTGATATATCGTATACAGCAATCCAAGATTAATAAATATTTCCAAAATAATGAAATAATGCTAATTCACCACTATTTGGAAAATTGAAAATCTACAATGAAAACACAGCATAATTTAATATTAAAAAGAATAATAATAAGGTCATAACAGCATAATTAGGGAATGTTTAATATGAAATCATCATCATATTTTAAGCAAATGTATTATATTTAATAACTCTAAAAAAGAATAATGATTTTAAAATTCTAATATAAGTGAAACTTTCAATTAAAACTTCTTCATCTTAATAGATTGTAAGAGTCAAAATTCTTTCAATAGCTGAAATTGTAATTACTAAACATCCTAAAATATTACTAATTTTGCATAAATATCCCTTTATACATATTGATTTAATTAGCATCTCTAAAACCAATAAAATATTTACTGATAAATCAAAGAAATCTGAAATAGATGAATCATAATAATCTGAAAATGCTATTAGTAATGTATCAATACATACAAAACTATCAATTATTACTATAACAATTTATTGAGTAATAAATATTCCTAACCAAAATTTAATATATTCAAAATAAAATATTAATCCTTTTGCAAAATAATAATTCCATCCTCTATTTATAAAATTTATAACAGAATCAGCTTTATAATTTTTAATTAGATCATTTCCTGACCATTTTTATATATAAAAATCTTCACTTATTTAAGAAATTTTAATTTAATATTTCTCTTCATAATTTTTAATTTCTTAAATTTCTGTTTTCATTTCTGCATTTATAATCTTTTCAATTTATTAATATGGTAATTATATTCCATCAATAAGAATGAATTTTGATAATTAAGGTATAGATTTACTAACTTAGGTGCTCTATTGAAATCTTTAGGTATAAAACAATTATAAATTCTTTTAATTTTTATTTTATGGAATATCTTATTGATATTATTTCTCAAATCTAGAATGATCAAAATTAGAATTCATTTCATCATCACTTAAATCTCTTACTGATATATTATTCTCTTCATTAATTTATACAATTTATCCATAATTTTTTTAGAAATTTGATTTTCTAATTGGAAATATAGGTTTCTCTTTTTTTGAATTATCTTTTGTTTACTATTATTTTGTATCCATTACATAATTTTAATGTATATGTATTTTAGAAGATCTTTTAATTTTATTATGAGTAGGTAATTTTGATTAGACTATAGATATTTATAAATCTTGAATAGAATTAAATTAATTAGGAGATCCTTTTATTATTTACTTATTCAGACTGAGATAATCAATACTTAAGAAAGTATAAAAGAGTTGAGGTTCATTAAAGTAAAGTTCATTTGCCTAGATTAAATTTTTCATTTGATTTTAAAGTTTATGATCTGGGAATAAGATGAAAATTATCCAACTAGAAAATGTATATTATTTTTAAATTAATTGTCTTTCATTTATCATTTCATTTTTTTATCTGGCTGATAACAATTTTGTTTATTCTTAATTAACAATTTCTGGAAATATATATTTTTATCCTTTTGTATTAGGTTCACCTTAAGAATTATTTGAGAAGGATTTACTATTTAACCTACCACATTTCCCTTTTAAATAATTTTTATAGGATGTTTAGTAATACTACCACATCCCTATATTCTTTAATTTGTATAGATTTACACT